GAAATTATAGCAAGCTGATGTCAGTCAGCTTAGATGGTCCAAGCCAAAATTATATCGCATTTGAAGTTTCAAACTGTGTTAAAAATAGTGGAAGAAAAAGCCGTAATTATACTTATTGTTACAATCCATTTATTAAAATGCAACATTTTTTTGTTTTAATGAAAAAATCAGTTATTTTCATGAGAACGATTTGTTATTCCATCTCAATTTTTTTAATCTCCAATTGCAATAACGTAAAGTATTATTACCCGCGAACCAATGAGTCAAATTTAAGAAACAACCCACTGTGAGAAAGCTGAATGAGAACGCTTTAAAATGAATGTAAACTTTAACGTTTTCGTCTATTATTTGTTTAGCAATTTACATTTCAGTCGAGGATTGCGCTTTTTTTGATACACCCTGTATATATATATGCATATACATAAAGATTAGGACTGCTGCCTCGCTCGCTCGCTCGCTACGGCAGCAAGGACCCTGTAAAATATGTGGAAATAGATAAACAGATTATGTAAGAACAATTGGAAATAAATGTGAAAGACCCTGTAAAATATGTGGAAATAAATAAACAGATTATGTAAAATCATTGGAAATAAATATGCATGACCCTGTAAAATATATGTAAAATCATTGGAAATAAATATGAAAGACCCTGTAAAATATATGGCTTCCTTTATATGTTTGAGTTCACATACTTCTTTGAAGAAGATTCTGAATTTGTGTTCTTCAAGTTGCCCCTCACCAATTTGAACTCTGCTGCAACCGAGCCTTTCTCCACACACCAGTTTTGCTGTTTCTTCTACATCAAAAAATGTTGCCAATTGTGCAGCATGAGAGACACACACTTCGCCAGTCTTACATACAACAAAGTAGTAAGATCGGTTGCAAAGTTCCTCGCATGGGTGAAGGAGTCTTCTATTGTGGGCTCCTCCCAGTTAACAAGGATCGCTTTCTTGGAATTTTTTCCATTGGCGTCGTGGGTAAGCTCTTGCCCTGTTACTTTCCATCCAACACAAAGCTCAATGTTTCGGAACACTGGTCTTAGCAATACATCTTCATTTTCTGGGTCTTTATTTACTATGTCCTAGATAAAAAATAGAAAATCTTTATACGTTTTAATTTTTCAACATTTATGAGCAGACGCACCTCACAATCTCACATTACCTCGGTGTTTTCCTTCATCTTTGGGAAAAAGTCCAGGTTTCCATCTTCATAGCAATCATTGGATGCACAATAAAGCCAGTCAACTAGCTGTCTTATCCATCAATAGCACTTCCACGCCGGAACAGAGATGCTTTGAAGTTCATCATTATGGACGCAGCAGGCTCAAATAAGTCGAGCATAAGGAGCAAATCAGTTACAAAGTCCTAAATAGGAACAATGGAGGAAACACCAGGCACGGATCCAGCCTGAAACCTTGACTGTGGCACACTCCAAAACCATGCATCATTTTGAACCCGGGAAATGACATTTCCTGAGTTCTGAGCATCGAATTCTATCATATAATTCGTCATTAATTATGCCATATTTTACACAGCAAATAACGAAACAGACTAAATAAGTCAAATATTTAAACAACGTACCATGTTCTTCAGCGAAAGTCACAACATTAGAATGTTACAAAAATATAAACTTTTATATTAAGTCCGCCATCTTGGTTCTTTTCCCCTGAATCCTGTTTTTTCCACCCCCGCAGAGCTACACAGCTCCCCCTAGCGTTCAGGTTTAAAACTAAAGATTTGTGAGACGACTCCCTTTTTTGAGAAATTTACAAAACTTCATAACAAAACGCAAATTTCCAACCGCTGAAAAAGCTGCCAAGATATCACCAATTTATAAGTCTGAAGATAAAACGGCTCTTGACAACTACCGACCCATTTCAGTGTTACCAGTGTTTACAAAGGTACTGGAAAGAGTCGTTTATAATCGCTTGTCATACTACCTCAAGGAAAACAATCCTCTCAATGATTCCCAGTATGGATTTCGTCAAAAGCGGTCAACCAAGCACGCCGTGACAATCCTCATGGACGACATTAGAACAAGTATGGACAACCAACAGCTGACAGGAGCAGTTTTTCTCGATCTACGAAAGGCTTTCGACACAGTGAACCACGCACGTCTCCTTAAACTACCTTCCTATGGCATTAATGACGTTGAGCTAATGTGGGTATCAAGTTATTTGTTTGCTCGAACTCAGGTTGTAAACTTCGAAGGGACGTTATCAGAGGAAAATTACATCACTCACAGAGTACCACAAGGTTCCATCATTGGCCCTCTTCTGTTTGCGCTACTAATTAACGATGTAGATACTGATCTATCACAGTGTAAAATTATTCTCTATGCAGACGACACTTATCTATTTCAGCGACAAGAATGCTTTGATCATTGAAAGTACTTTAAATGAGGAAGTAAATCGAATTGCAATATGGATGAGAGATAACCATCTGACGCTCAACCTAAAGAAAGGAAAAAACAGATTTTGTCTTGTATGGAACAGCGAAGAAGCTGAGTAAGGAACTCCACAAGATCAACATACATATAAACGGAGAGACGGTGAATGAAGCAACAAAATACATGTACTTGGGAGTGCTATTAGACCAACATCTAAACCTACATGACCATCTGGCCACAACCTATAAAAAGGCATCCTCGAGACTAAAGTTACTGAAACACATTAGACCAAATCTAACGTCTGCTATAGCTGGAAAAGTGTACCACAGCATGATTCAGCCTATAGTAACACATTGCCCAACTGTTCACCTGGGACTTCCAAACTACCAGATAGACAAACTTCAGGCAATCCAGGACCAAGGAAAGCGTATTGTGTGCCCCAAGGGAGTGGCAACAGAATGGAAACAAATGGCCGATGTCATTGATGAGCAGATCCTGATAGATGTGCATAAATCTATACGATGTGTATCTCCGCCACAATACCACACCTATTTCAAAGTTCTCGAACATGGAAAAAACACAAGAGGAGATGGCTGCTCTCTCGTTATTCCGAGAGTAAAAACTGAAGTAGGAAGGAAGACCTTCCAATTTCAAGGAAGTTTGTTGTTTAACAAACTTCCGAAAGAACTAAAGACTGAAAAATCTGTTGTTATTTTTAAACGAAATTTAAAGCATTTGTACAAATAATTTTTATATGCATGTAAAACATTTTTTAGCAGCCTTGAACTATGAATATTGACTTAATTTGAGTTCTTTTCTAATAGAGTTTTTATATTAGTATATTATTTGTAAATACAGGCCCTTGTAGGATACCAACCATTGAACTCAACAGCTGAACAAGTTAACCTGTTAAAATATAGAATATAACAATAATAATATGAGTACCAAACACCGTCTCCTGAATGTCTATCAAGTTTATAACAAGTCTCTAACAAACTCTACTGAGGTAGTCGGCACCAACGTTGTCGACTCCTTTAATAGATTCAATCTTAATACCATAGTTTTGCAAGAACATCGCCCATCTCATAACTTTGTTGTTGAGAAACTTCACTGTCTTCAAATAGACCAAAGGCTGAAGGTCGGTTTGCAATGTAAACTCTGTTCCATAAAGGAATATCAGGAACTTTCGGACAGCCCAAACTACCGCGAGGCACTCTATCTCGATCGTACTGTACTTCTTCTCGCTTTCCGTTAGTTTCCTGCTAGCATAACTAACTGGTGAAAGTTTACCATCATGCTCCTGCAATAATACCGCTCCGAGTCCTGTGTTGGATGCATCAGTTCTCAGTGTAAATAGTTTTGTGTTATCAGGCAGTCAGAGGATCGGCGAACTTGTAAGCTCTGTTTTCAGTGTGCTGTAGGCCTTTTCTTGTGCGTCGGACCATATGACTTGGTTTGGTTGTGCCTTCTTGGTCAGGTCTGACAATGGAACCGCTTTCACCGCGTAATTTGGAATGAACTCCCTGTAATAACCAATAAGGCCAAGAAATGCTTTAACTTTTTTCTTCGTTCTCGGTCGCTTCGCATCTCTAATCTTCTTCATGTTGTCTTTGTGGAGTGCCTTGACTCCATCAGATATTCAGTGACTGACCACTTTGATACATTCAGCTCCTAGGACACACTTCACCGGTCTTGCCGTGAAACCCGCGCTGGCAAGTCTACTGAACACTTCGTCAAGCACGATGAGATGTTGTTCCTACGTCTCTGTGTAGATAATAATGTCATCGATGTAACCGTCAGCTTCATCAAGATCATCCAACAACTTCCTAATACCTCTCACCAGAATTCATCATCCCGAAAGGCGTTCTGACGAATTCATATGAACCGTCGAGGGTCACGAACGCTGTTTTAGGAATATCTTCAGTGGCTACTGGAATTTGCCAATTTGGTAAGATATTTCGCTTTCGACATTTTCTGGAATATCTCTTCTGCCATAGGCATCGGTGTTGGATCAAACACGGTAACACGATTCAACTTTTGGAAGTCGACGCAAACTCTGTTAGTGCAGTCTTCCGTACAATTACCACTTGTGAGGGATAAGGTGATTTAGATCCTCGGATAACACCCATCTCAATCATATCTCGAACATCTTTCTTTAATGACCCTCTAACGTTATAAGGAATCTATACGGCTTTGACCGGATGGACTCGTCTGATGTAAGGTTAACTTCATGCTCAATAATATTAGCGTTACCGGGCACATCAGTAAAGACATGTTCGTACTGTCTGACTACTTCTTGTAGTTGAACCTTCTGTTCGTTGTTCAGCTGTTGACCGAATGTCACATCCCTGACAGTCTCTTTGGGTTGCATGGTGCCAAGCTCTAAAAGGCTCTTGTCATTGACGGCTCCTTCTGGACCACTTTCACTTTGCTCAGTCACAGCCGCTGCAGCAACGTAAAGGACTCAACTGCCTTCTATCTCGCGATCACTCTTTGGTGACACTTCTTCCCGCTCTTTGGCTTGCGTGGTTTGTCTCTCAACATATTCCTTCAACATGTTTGCGTGAAATGTTTTTACTTTATCACCAACCTTGATCCTGTAATCATTGACTCTGACAATCGACTCTACGACGAAAGGACCTTTCCACTGCAACAAGAGTTTATTCTTGTCAGTCGGCAATAGAAGTAAAACTTTGCTGTCAATTTTGAAACTTCATGACTTAGCCTTTCGATTGTAGTAACGCTGATATCTTACTTGAGACTTCTTCAGTTCATCTTGTGCCAGCTTCACGGTCTCTTCTGAGAGACTAGATCTTCTAGGCAGAAATGTATAAACTGCTCTTTAATGAACAAGTCACAAATTCCCTCGTGGGTCTTCTCAACCCACCTGGTGAGATATCTGTTTAATCTCGTCACAAACTGTTCTGGCTTTCCCTCCCTGAATCTCATCTTAAAACCGCTTTCAGTAAGTTCATACCTTTTCAAAAGGGCTTCTTTCAGCTGCTTGTAATAAACTGCGGCTGTCTCTGATAGTCTCGAATAAACATCTAAAGCTCTACCAGTAAGCAATGCACTAAGCGAAGTCGACCATGTTGATTGGTCCCAATTATTGTTCTTAGCAAACTGTTCGAATCTTTGCAGATAACTGTCCAAGTCATCTTTACCATCGACAAACGTTGGTAGTTTAGGTAACTTAGCAGTCGATTTAATACTAGCACTATTTACATCAACATTTGCACTCTGTAATTCCAGTTCTTTCACTGCTAGTTCATGTCTCCTCTGAGCTTCTTTTTCTCTTTCTCCCATTTGTCCTTCCTTTTCCTTTTCGTCCAGTTCTTGTAGCCATATACGTTCTCTTTCCTCAGCCTCTAACTTTTTACTCTCAAGTTCTCGCTGTCTCTCCTCTCTCTCTTCATCGACTCGCTGTTTCTCTTCATCCTGTTGTTCTTTCACAAAAGCCAATAACTCTTTGCCTTCAAAGCCAAAATCTTTGCCCAGTGCAATGTTCCATGCTCAATTTTAAATGTCAAAATACACAGTTTTCAACACACACAGATCAGGTTGTCTGGGGCTAATAATTGTCTGTGATACTACAATATCCACAATAAATGGCATATATTTATCCACATTTCTATCTCATTATCCACGATAAAGCCAGAATATGATTAATTACCTTCCAAACCAACGATCAATGTTGCCCACTGGCAAATATTTATCCACAATTCTATGTTATTATCCACAATAAAGCCAAAATATGATCAAATATCTTCCGAACCAATGATCAATGTTAATATACACGATAAATCCAAAATCTCTTCAAACCAACGATTAAGGTTGCCCTTTGGGAAATTATACTTATTCACAATAAGAAAATGTTTATAAGGAACAAATCATGTCTCCCAATTACTCTCCGGCGTATAAATTGCCCACGAAAACTGATCGACAGTTTAATTTCGTTTTGAAATAAACAATACAATTTCCACCAAAAACTTTCGCCAATTGACCGGTTTCCCGCCTGAGCCCCCAGATGTCACGGAATTCTTGAGAAACCGGTCTTGGTCACACTATAGGACAAATACTGTACTCACATGCTTTTATAAATTTTAATAAACAACGGAAAAATATAAACTTTTATATTAAGTCAGCCATCTTGGTTCTTTTTCCCCGAATCCTGTTTTTTCCACCCCCCGCAGAGCTACACAGCTCCCCTTCAGATCTTGTAGCTTTTGAATGACACCTTTTGATGTTTTATGTATTGTTTTAAGCAAAAGTAACCAAATCCACCTTTGGCTTTGTGTCTTGCTAAAGTGTCTTGCTAAAGTGTCTTGCTAAACCGCAATAAACTTAAAACAAACATTTGTGACCAAATTTATCATTCGGTATGTTAGATCCAAATTACATTTATTCTCAGTAGAGTTTTGAAGTACAAAATTTGTACCCAGTTTGGGACAGTAGAAAAATGCAATTTGTGGGTTGAGGCCATTTTCCTGATATATCACAGACACAGGATGGCTTAGTAAAAAGCCCGTACTCTGTGGTGTGTAGAAATTATGCTAACCTTTGTTGTAACCAAGCTAATACATATATATATATACATATACATATATATATACATATATATATATATATATACATATATATATATATATATACATATATATATATATATATACATATATATTTATATATATACATATATATATATATATATATACATATATATATATACATATATATATATATAATATTACATATATATATATACATATATATGAGCACATATTATATATATTACACATATATATATTATATAGCAGTTATGAGCAGGCAATATTATATGAGCATATACATATATATACATATATATATATTATTATATATATACATATATATGAGCAGGGTTGAGCATGGACAGGAGGATATTATATATATATAATATTAGTATAGAGTATATTATTATATATATACATATATATATATACATATATATATATATACATATATATATACATATATACATATATATATACATATATATATACATATATATATACATATATATATATATACATATATATATATGTATATACCTGTTAGTGGCGATGTGTTTTGGGATGCTTCATAGAAGAATTCCAAAAACTTCACTGTGTCTGTTGGACCGTTTAACAAGTTAAAATATCCAACTCCGTCATACAGTGATGTTAGCAAATGCAATGTGATATTTGGACTTTCACACTTTCGAATTATTTCGACACAGCACTGTCCAACAGGTGCATGTCCATAATTTCTCGTTCCAACGTCTGGGGTTTTTACACCGGCTTCATTAAAAAACTTTAACTGGTAAGGGTTTTTACTGCTTACATAATCAATGAATAACTGACTGTATATCATATTTTCTGGAGTAAAGCTTTCTTTTGCAATATGTGTAATTTTCTTTCGTGAGAATGCTTCACCCAAAGGCATTCTGTTTTTGATGGCTCCGACATATTGCACTTGTGGAGGTATTCCCACCACATTCACCGATAACCTCTAATTCTTGATAGATTTCTTTTAATGTTATCGATCCTTTTTCCCTCTTCAAAACTTCCATTAGCTCTAAATCTGCCTGACTCAAATTACTTGGATTTCCACCTCCCTTTGGCAGCAGATCTTCCCTGAATGAATCGCAGTACAGCGTCCATATTTTTTGGACTGTACTTCGCGCCACACGAAACGTTTGAGCAACAGCTTGAAAAGTGCCTGGGAAGTCCACGTAAGACAATTTCATCCAGGACAGCTCTCCTGAGATCTATAGTCAATGCTTTCCCATTTTCATAACTCCTTCCTTTTCGACTGACCTTTATTGTTGACAATTAGTTCGGGATAAACATGCACATTATATACTAAATTACTGCAGAAGTGACTGTAAAAGCATTTGGAGAATTGTATAAGAAAAAAATGTAAAGTTTAATAGGAAAAAAGAGTGAAACAGCCACACAAAACCATTATTGACTATTGTTTAACAACAGTAAAATATTGGTGTGGTTTTATAATATTAACATTATTAAACAACTGTCAAAAAGCGGTGCGGTCAACTGGAACTAGCAGTATATAGTTTCATTAATAAAATTATATATCCATATTATATTATTTACACAAAATAAAAAAAGTTTTATAATAGCTAGTATTAGCAATGTACATATGACTTTTATTTGTTTTATTTTACCCACAAAACTTTCAAAACTTCTGCAGCCCCTGTAAAACATTGCCACTCCCCCCAAAATTGGATTAAATTACAGTAGTATCAATTTTTGGCACTCCTGAATGTTTGGCACCCCCACACACACACACAAAAGCAAAATCCGTCTCTGGTGCAGTAGTTATAATTTAAAAGACAATATACACTCCAATACTCTTAGACTATTTTTTATATTGTGTGCGCCGGCCAACACAACTGTGCACCGAACATGTGAAGGATTGGGACCCTTCATTCCATACTGGAATATTGCTATACTGTAGATCTCCTCTCCAATTGTTTAAGTTTACAGTATACAGTTTAAGTTTACAGTATACTCGGCTGTCGCCTCGTTGAATGGAACATTCCGTATTTCACCAAATGAAAATATTTTTACCACTGCACGAATAAAAACATTCATTATTTGTTTTATATAATAATACCAAAATAGACTAATGTTAAAAGCTTTACTGTAAGCTCCCGCCATTTTGACGAGTCGTATTGGCATTATTAATAAATCCCATTTACTGAGTTTCGATTATCAGGTTAAAATAAACTGCGATCACCATATGAGAAGCATTTTGACGGATGGGATTTATCGAAAACACAATATAAATAACATAATACAAAGAGTGGAATAAAACATATAGTACAATTGCACTCGCAAACAGTGCAATGGAACATGTATTCCATGGTGTTGTTTACCATTTACATGTAAAACCCATCCGGTTTGAAATTGTGCTAATGGTAAGCAAAATTTCGGATAGAAAATCCCATTCGGATTATTCGCTTTCCATTTAATAATTTCAATTGTTAAATTGCGAAGAGCCTGGAACTGGTGAAAAAAAAAATGTAAAAATGTAAATGGAACAACATTTACCGGTTGAAACTTTCCAATCGGTAAGAGAGGACAACCTTTTCAAACAAACCGTTTATTTCGGAAAAGTTCCGGTTGGGCCGTCGAAATATGCTTGTTCCATTTACTTTCCATATGGAATGACCGGAATTTCCATGTAAATGGTAATTTGAGAAATGGTTTGAGAAATGGAATTTTCTATTGAATATCATGTGACCATAAACAGCCATTTAAACAATCAAAATTCAATAAGGTATTATATAATATACAGTATCAAATAACAATGTGCTTTGTAAAATTACGATGGATGCTTGTCATGAACTGTTATCGTGTTGTGGATTTTTGAAAACCAAGCTGTATCTACACACAATCATCAAAAAAGTTTGAACATCATTAACATTGTAAAGTTTAACAATTAACTACCTACAAAAATTTTAAATTGTTAACTTTACAATCTTGAAAATAAGCAGCTGACCAGAGACATTATCTGCTACGGAATGGAAACTTAGTCTAGGTCCTGTATATGAGTTTGTATGCGTTTCACTTAGGACAGGCATGCCATCCCTACTGTTTAGGGTAATATGACCATGGCGGTCAACATATCCCAGTTTTTCATCCTATGATATTTTTTTAGGAAATAAGAAAATTTAATTTTTGCCAGGCATGTTATTTAATCTGTGCATAAATATCATGGGGTGGAAAACTATGCTTAATTTAAGATTTATTGTAGTTTTCATAAGTATTGTCATTGTTTTCTTTAAATATGAATATATTTAATTTCGCTTGCCCCCCCCCCCCCAAGAAAACACTGGGCTGTTCATTTTCAGGACTTTCATCCTGTATTCAAGTTTTGGCACATATGCCATGTTGACTACCATGGTCATTTTCAGGTCAGAGGTACCTGTCCTAAATGAAACACATACAAACTCATATACTGTACAGGTCCTACTGATTTTTGGTCAGACATTTTGTCCAGCAATTTATTAGCTGACAGCAAGAAGTGAGGTACAGCATTGGGGTGGGGGGTGCTGGGATAACATAATTATTCGGGTTCCAGTATACCAGCTCTGATTGCCTATTGTGTGATCATACAATACATAAATAAGTCATTGAACCGACACAGCCAATGTTAGAAATATTTAGTTTATGTCTTGAATTTCAAAGTAAAATTAAGCCAACTTTTGCAAGCGGTGAATATCCAACAGCTATTTTGTTCATTAGTAGTTCGATTTACGATACATTTCACAAAATGTTTCCAATAGAAACCATGGCTATACAAAGAACGAGCAATGTTAATTTAATTCCACTTCAAATTCATTGCTACAGTAACAATATCACATCAATATGCAGATTACAAGACTGATATACTGTATACACTATAAAAAATTTAGAAAGTCAAATAAAGAATGCA